ACAATTGCGTTTTCTAAATTCTTCCAGTTGCTAAGGACATTTTGTTTTGTTGTTAATAGTTATTTTGTTTTTAAGAAATTCATTTCGTTTTTACCTTGAAAAAGTTCACATTGGAAAAAACACGTCTGCTAATAGTACAGTTTTCCTAATGTCTTTTATCTTTATACATACCCACACACCCACACAAAACCCCCCCCACACACACACACATATATATATATATATATATATATATATACACACACACAGATAGAGAGATAGAGAGAGAGAGAGAGAGAGAGAGAGAGAGAGAATGTCCGTGTGAAATTTAAAATACTTATATTTTTGTAACTATACATGTTATAAACAATCTGTGAATGAATAAGGAAGCTTATCTTCCGGAATATATTTAGCATTACTTTTACTATTATTTTTTTTCCAATTCTTGCAACTTCAAAATGATTTTTTTTTTCTTCAAATTCTTGAAACTTCAAAATTACTTTCTTTTGCTGAATTGCTGTTTAGCTCCATTGGATTTCGTTTTATGGAGACATGTGAAAAGTAATGTTTATTCGACTAAACGTTGATCTCTGGAGGAAATGCAAGCTAGGATAATTGATTTGATTGAAGGTGTTAGTGAAAACCAGAAGTTTTCCGAGAACTGCAGAATCGTATGACCCTTTGTATGTGTAATAATGGTGGATATGCTGAAAATAAACAATCGCGATAATAAATTTAAATACTTCGTCTTTCTTATCTTTCTTGCAAATTGATTCCGTACGTATTTAAAATTGCACACAGGCTGTATGCCCACCCAGTATATATATATATATATATATATATATATATATATATATATATATATATATATATATATATATATATATATATATATATATATATATATATATAATGGACTCTCCTGTCGGTTTCGACGTATACGAGGATCTGACAGCTTATTGATTCAGTTATGAAATTTTGTGCGATAATCTTAAGTGGCATTTATGACCCACTAGTGATTTACAAAGGAGGCCACATATGGAGCAAGTGTGAGAATTGTGAGATGAGATCACTGTTAGATTATATATATATATATATATATATATATATATATATTTTGTATGATTAGGTTGCAAATATTTAGCCCCCCAAATCTTAAAGGCTTCTGAGTGACGTTACTTGTAACAGTTAAAGTCAGTGAAATTATATTAAAAAGAATGTATAAATTTTTATGTATTATTATTATTATTATCATCATCATCATTCGATTTCTGCTATGGACACACTACCTACCAAGTCTGCGGAAAGACCTAAGGCAGGTCGTGGTGTGTTGTTATGGCCACATTTCATGTTTTTTTTTTTTTTTATCTCCGATGAAGTTGCTAGCGTTACATAGACAAAGTTCTCCTTAGTGTGTGTGCTGTACTTAATAAGACAATTTTCTGTATGTCTCTTAAGCTGGGGTTTCAGGATTCTTTCAATGTGTTGTTTTGTTCCATTTTTATAATTCCAAGTGCACCTATTACCACTGGTATTATTCTTGTTTTCAATTTCACATTTTTTCTATTTCAATTTCCAGGTCTTTGTATTTTGATAGTTTTTCAAATTCCTTGGTTGCTATGTTACAATCCGCTGGACAAGCCATATCAATTAGTAGGCAAGTTTTTTTCTTTCTGGTTTTTGACAATAATGTCCGGCCTATTTGCTTCAATTTTTCTGTCTGTGTGGATGGTATAATCCCATAGAATGGTGACATCTTCTATTTCTGTAACCGGCGCTGGCCGATGTTCATACCAGTGTTTGCTTACATTTTCCAAAGTGTTTGCACATTGTCCAGTGTAAGTATTGCCCCACTCTATCGTGACGATTTTTATATTCATTTGGGGCAAGTATAGAACATCCTGAGATTAGATGGTCTATTGTTTCTTGGTATTTGTCACAGAACCTGCATTTTGGATCCACATTATTATGTATGATATTTGCCTGAAAATTCCTAGTGAAAAGACTCTGGTCTTGCGCTGCAAGAATAAAGCCTTCAGTTTCAGACTTTAATCCAGATGCTCGTAACCATCGATGAGTATTAACTTTATCAACATTGGGTTTATTTGCACGTTCTGGATATTATTTCCTTTGTTTTCTGGTGTGTACACATTTCTTTCCGAGTCCCGCTCAGAGACGTAAGGTTAGAAATGGCATCATGACATTTTCCATTGACCATTTAAAAAAAGAAAAGAAAACAGATACATATTTTACAGAGATAAAGCCCTTAGTAAGGTATGGACTGTACTTGTGAGAAATCATGAGTAATTATTATTATTATTATTATTATTATTATTATTATTATTTCCTTTCATTTCTCTTATATACTCATTTTTTTGCGGGTCAGAGATTTAAGGTCAGAAATAGCATCATGAAGTCTTTTTGAAAAAAAAAACGAAAAAAAAAAAAACCCAATAAACTAAGATCACACACATTTTACATCCATAAAGCTCTTCTTCATGTGTGAGCTGAACTTGTGAGT